AGCTCTGTAATGGTTTATATTACCTTTTTATTTAAATTGTAAATGTTGTTCACTGGGATAATGCCGGAATAATAATAGATACCAAGTACCAACTTCAAAAGAAGAAAAGGAAATAGGAACCCCAAAACGGATAAACACAGTCCTACCCCCAAGCTCCACACAGAAAAGGTGAAGGAGAGACATCTTATGTTTTCAAGGCATTAAAAGCAATATATGAACTACAAAAATGCAGCGCCAACATATTTTATCACTGTATAGTTTTAATATAAGTTGTGGAGACATTATAAATATATAATGCACATCATGTACCCTTAATATGCACATTCATCAACCTTAATATGCAAATCTCGTAACCTTAATATGCAGACATTTCTACCTGTGATGAGTTCTTAATAATAAAAACTTAATACTACGTATATTACAAGTTCTAACATAACTATGCACACCATTATCAATATATAATGCATACTTCCCCCGTTCTTTTTTAGTTGCAACGGTCAACATTTCACATTTGCCAACACACATATTTGACCGTAAATATATGTTATTCTCTATTAGTAAAAAATTAAAAATCAGTTTTTGAAAATTTGTAATGAGATGAATTGAACAATATTTTTTTAAAAATAATTTTCATAAAATAATAGTGTAAAATGTAGTCAAAATAGAGCATTTGAATAGTGTAAAACTCAACATGTTGCGATTAAAAAAACAGAGGATAATATTACATAACTTTAATATTTTAGGTTTCAAAAAAAGGAAGGTTATTTAGGAAGTGGTTAAATCTTCCCTTTTATTGATTTGCTAAATTGCTTGAAATTGTAATCGTGGGTCAGCCAAACTATTGGGATTTCCTTACGTATCATGGTGTCTTATTTATTAAAAATGTTAATTTACCATGCTAGCCTTACTTACTAACGGTGTCCGTATGTTTTCAGTTTTGTGTGTTGCACCACACGGTCTGCTACGGTGGCTTCTATATTGACAGCCTTTGATTTGCCAAACTTGAACGCATGAGATTAGTTTGTAGGTTAGCACCGGAAGCTTGGTTTGCATCGGAACCGCCCCCTATAAAGTGATATGCAAGTACGACAACTTATCTCATCTGGTATTTATTTTTCCCCGTTCGTGTATTCAAGTGTGTGGCGGTGTATATTCAAAACCCCAACGATGAAGACGATACGGTCTTAAAGTAATTATCTTTAATACTAGCTATCTCACTGTTAGAGGGAATCAAATTAAACATGGCAGCTTATCTAGTTATTTTTTGGCACAACAAGGAAGACGATCTGATCACACGTTGTATTTCCAGGAATATATATTAATATATTTATGGGAAAATGGAAACTAATAATCCAACCTTTTAGCAATCTTCTTATAATAGTCCCACCTTTTCGTTATTCAAGAATAATCCAACCTTTGCACCCCATCTTCATTCGCTGGTCCTTGATCGATTAATGACCTGCTATTCCAAGTTATTTTCTTACCTTTGCAAAATATTATCTTTGTAAAAGGTGAGATTTATGGTATAATGATTTGCAAAGATAATAAAATAACTTGGAATAGGAGGTCATCAACCGATCAGGGACCAATGAATGAAGATGAGGTGCAAAGGTTGAATTATTCATGAATAACGAAAATGTGCGACTATTAAATAATATAAGTTTGGGTTTAGATAGGAACATATCCATATAGTATCCACATAAAGATTACATTTGTAGTTAACATATGTAATTATGTGGTCATTTGTCATATGAGATTTATTATAGGAGCACACATAAAATTACGTGTCATTATTACTTATTATACACATAGTATGCATGTCTATTTTGTTTGTATTTTTAGGTATATAAACTTACCGTGCCTTTATGTGTTTACTTATATAAAGAGTATAAATTAAAATTTATACGTAATGTATGTAGGTACACATACGTATATACGCCCTTCGTCCCAATTTGTAAGAAACATTACGGTTTACGATGTTTGACCGACAATAAAGCAAATTGATCTCTGTCTCAACACTCAAATTAGTTCTAGAAAATAAAATTTACATATTCAAAAATTACATTAAAATCGCTATAAAGCTTGCAAAAAATAACTCAAGTTTCATAAACTTTTGATATATAAAATAAAAGGTTAAAAGTGATTTATGTAAATGTATCTTACAAGTGAATAGTAAATGTATCTTACAATTTGGGACTGAGGGAGTATATGTAAATCAATTTATGTGAATATTTAATAATACGATCATAAAGTCAAATTTTAATTTAAAAAATCACATAAACACAGTATAATTTTTATTGATTAAAAATACACTGTTACATGTAATACCGATAAGGTATGTTTGGAAGAGCATGTCCCATTACAGTATTATATGAATACTATATTTTCCGATAATATATGATTTTTATGAAATATTTTACGAAAGAGCCTTATTACTCTAGGATTTGGAGTCTAGTTTTTGGGTGCCCACGTTTATATGTTTTGGAGGCAGATTATTCAAGTTCTACTTGGATAGTTTTGTTTCCCCACGAATTGAGTACGAGTTGGTTTCACTGACTACGACTCCCACGAATTGAGTACGAGTTGGTTTTACTGACTACGACTCCCACGAATTGAGTACTAGTTGGTTTTACTGACTACGACTCCCACGAATTGAGTACGAGTTGGTTCTACTAACTACGACTCTCACGTTGAGTTCGGGTTGTTTGAGTTTCGGTTAGACGATTCGTTCTCCCACGGTATGCTAGCATATGACCCCGGCCAGGGTCCCACGAACCTCTGTTATCTGATGATCCATGTATCCTTAGCTAGAGTCTAGTCCTAAGAGTAAAGACTGATATAATTATTTTTGGTTAATAATAGTTACCCTCCGGGTAGGTAAGATGGTGTTTGGATTCGCTCTTGGTAGGTAAGGAAGTGTTTACATTGACAATGTAATAATAAAAGTTTCTTGAGTTATTGAATTATATACTCCCTCCGTCCCAGGGAGAAGTTCCCACTTTCCTTTTTTGGTAGTCCCAACAAAAAGTTCCCATTTCTCTAAATGGAAAGTTATCCTACATCAAAACAGTGTCAAACAGTGCAAAACAGTGCCAAACAGTGTCGAAACAGTGCCAAACAGTGTCGAAACAGTGCCAAACAGTAAAATTTACCCCTCAATAACTTTATTTCCTAAATATGTGTGAAAGTCAACCCGGGAACTTCTCCCTGGGACGGAGGGAGTATATAATTGCGGTACCATCCATGCACCTAGTCTGCATGGGATGCACATTAAGCAGACGTGAGTCGTGACGGATCAGACCGGATGGTATGGGAAGTAGAGGATCGGACTGTGAAATAGTAGCGGGTAGGGGTGGGCAAATGGGTCTTGGAACCGCGGTCCGGTCCGGGTAATGGCGGTTCGGGTCCAAAACGGGCCGGTTCCATTTTTTGTTGCCATAAAACGGTCCGGGTAGGGTCGGGTAATTTTTTTTAAGGAACCGGACCGGTTCCAAAATTAAAAAATAACGGGTACCCGGCCCGGCCCGTTATATATATTGTATATTAATTTATTAACAGTTTTGTGATAATCGGTTTTAAAATAGTTTTCTTTTCTTTGCTAGAAGTAGGACTTTAAATTGAGTTGGAGTAACATCCTTTTGTTTTCAAATTATTGATTAAATGTTTCATAAATATCTTATTACTTTTTATTGTTATTGAATTATTCCTTTCTATGGAATTTAATTATTTGTTAAAGATGATTTTGTTATATTTTTTTTATTATATTGTTATTAAAATATATAAATTGTGTTTATATGTAGTGTTTTTAGGTATTACATAGTAGAAGATAAGCTTACTAACCATTGAGCGGAATAACTTTCTCCCTCATATGTAGTTCTAAGTGTAAGATAAGAAGACTAAACAATTGAGCGGGACAACTTTCTCTCTCATATGTAGTACTTTTTAGGCATAAGAAGCTAAGAAGATAAACTTGCTAGCAATTGAGTGAGAAAACTTTCACTCTTACGGGTAGCTCTTAAGTACTCTGTATATAAGATAATCCAGCTAATTGTTGAGGGTGAAAATTTACCCTTCCATATGTAGTGCTTTTAGGTATAACATAAGTCGACTAATAATTGAACGAGAAAAATTTCTCTCTCATATGTAGTCTATTTAGATATGACAAGATAAGCTTGCTTGCTACTAGTAATAATTAAGCGAAAATTTTCTCTCTCTCATATATAGTGCTTTTAGTTATAAGAAGATAAAGTTGCTAACAATTGAGGGGGGTCGTCATATATGTAGTTCTTTGTAGTATTAGATGAGTCGGCTAACAATTAAAGAACATATTTGTTTCTCTCACACATAGTGCTTTTAGGTATAAAGGTAAGATAATCCGACTAACAATTGAGTGAAATTTTTTTTCTCATATGTAATTGTTTTAGATATAACAAGATAAGCCAACTAAGAATTGAACATAGTAATTTTCTCTCACATATGTTAGCATGAATTTACTAATGAATGGAAAGTTATTATTTAACTAATATTCATTGATTTTAATATTTATTGTATTCACTTAAACTTTACGTCACTCACTTATTGTACTCACTTTTTTAGAATTATTATTTAATTTTAAAATTAATCTAATCGTGGAAATGAATAAGTAGCAAATTCTAATGAGTAGTGTCAATTAATTTTTCCTAATATACTCTTCATTGAATATATATTTTAAGGTATTAGCTGATTGAATTACTATTTTTTCGAAAATGTAGAATCCTAAAAAGTTGTTTTTATTTTAATATTTAATTAGATCATGAGTAAAAAATATATGCACCAACCGCTCTATCCCGTGCGTACGGGTACTATACTAGTTAGATTAAGAAATGACAAATTCCAAATAAGTAAATCGAATATCGTGATAGGGTTAACTCGATAATTGCGTAGTAAAATTTGCCTAAACGCAAGGAAAAGGAAATGAAAATTGTTTTTGAAGAGCAAATATATAGAAGTAAACCCTAACAGTAGAAAATCCGAAAACAAGCGACGGGCCCCAACACCATTTTCACAGCTGCCCGCAAGAGGCGAGGCGACTGTGGAGTTCCGTTTCCGCCATTGTTATCCAAATGATCATTGACTCGCTGCTACTGACCTTAGTCGGATGCTCAGCTGTCTGCTTACTTTAAACGGCAACCCAACACTCTTACTCCGTCTGCAAGCTCTACATTGACTCCTCAGCATCTCGCCACTGCCGGAAAAAATCTTCGTTCTGAACGAACCTGTGCGTATTTCTCTATCTCTGGCGGTGTCTGCTTTTTTTTTTTTCGGTTTTGATAACACAGAATTTATCAATTTTTGTGTAGAGTCTAGCTTATTATTTTTTGCCTTGACATTGATAGCCTAAAAATTGTCGCCGTGTAAAAGAATTACAACGAAATACATGCATGACTGAATTTGAGCCTTTATTTATCTACCAATTGGCTGTTAATGGCTAAAAAAATATAGAAATGAAGACAGACTTAACATGAAATTCGAACAGAGGAAATCTATGGGTTTCTCTGGAAGCTGTGAGGTGTAAGCTTTCTGATTGATTTTCATACTCAAGGTTGTGACTTGTGATTGCTGCATTGTTCTAGATAAAAATGGCTCCAAATCCAAGAGTTGTAAAAGCCTTTCGGGCAATGAAGGAGATCGGAATCTCTGAAGACAAGGTGAAGCCAGTGCTAAAAAACCTTCTGAAGGTATATGAGAAAAACTGGGAGCTTATTGAAGAAGAGAATTATAGAGCCCTAGCAGATGCCATTTTTGAAAAGGAAGAAGCACAGGTATTCACTTTTCATATTTCCTTTTGTTGTTCCAATCCCCATTATGAACTTTTCTCTCTTTCACCTTTTTCTTATTCATTTGCTGTTTATTAAATAAGCCTTTTGTTTTTTACAAATTGCAGGCTGTGCAACCCAAGAAGCCTGAGAATATTGAAGTAAGCGGAATTCATTTCTGACTAGTTTTCATTTTCATGCTATTAATAGTTTAGGATACCATATATTACATTGTTGGTGAGTTCTCTTGATTGTTTGGTATCCTTCTCTCTGACATGTCTAGTTAGCGGGAGCTTTGGATGAAGAAGCAACACTCGAGGAGCCGGAAAGACCGCTTAAGAGATTGCGTTTAAAATATCAGGAAAGTCAGCCTGCACCTTCCCATAACAACTCTAGTACCACCTTGACCACCACTGCATTGATAAAGCCCAAGCTTGAGGTTGATGATCTTCCCAATGATCATCACAGTCATAGTCGCTCCCAGGGTGGCACTAAGAGCTTGCCTCAGCCCAGTCATGGTGGCAGGGCAGGTTCTTCTCATCCCATTCAAGCCAGAAACAAAGGAAAACAACCTATGATGACTGCCGGTCCTCTTGCTTTGATCAAGCCCAAGGATGAGCCTTTTACTGATGATATGCCACACTATGAGGCCCCTATTGCTATTATTCCCGCTGGTAATATGTTTAGTGGTGATGAATATCACTGCTTCAGTTAACTGTTATTCTCTACTCTCTCTCTCTGAAAAATGAAAATCTGTTTCCAGAACTTCTTTCCCTAAAAGGTCTTGTTTTGAAAGTTAACTTCAAAATTAAGTAAAATTTATCTAATACCAATAGAAAAGGGGTCATAATAAATTATTCTAAGCAATACTGGAAATAAGTTTTACAGCTATAGCTGTACTAGTTATAATCTGTAACTTCTTAAAACTTGTACGTTGAAACTGAATCATAAAAAGTAAGAATTTTATCCTTATTCTAGCATAATTCTTTTTTTGTATTTGGATGGACTATGGAGTTAGTAATTTGCTGTTTTGGCTTTTGCTCTTGTTGGGTAGGCCGGTATGAACTGTCCATGAATCATTCAATTTGATTATCATTTATTGCAACTTTTACAGAGCTGGAGACCAATGGTGACGCCGATTCAGCAAACAGAAACCATTTACCCCTAGATCAAATTGCTCACCAAGAAACCTTAGCAATAGAGTCCAATGTGGGGAAAGATGCAATGACTGATATTGCATCAAATCAACAGTTGGAAAGGATTGATGACCAAGAAACCTTAGCCGTTGATTCCAATGTGGGGAAAGATGCAAGGAATGATATCGCATCAAACCAGCACTTAGAAAAGATTGAAGAAGACAGACTTTCATCTAACCTGGATATTGCTTCCTCTCGGTACGGAGAAGTGAAAATCTCCATAAATTGTGCTCCTGTTGTTGGAACCAATTTTCATTTGCCTAGTTTAGAAGCGGTGCTTAAATTGATGGAAGACAAGTGCCTGAGAGCTTATAAAATTCTGGACCCAAACTTTTCTGTTACAAAGTTGATGGAAGATTTTTGTGAGTGTGTCTTAGATTTGGGGACCAGCAAGTTGTGCAATGAAAACCAGGAAACAGCAAACGTAACATCAGCAGCTATCCAGTTGGAAGCATCTCTAATGGAAGATGAAAATCTCGAATCTTCGGGTATGCTTCCTGATTCTACAAATGAACTGTTGAACTTTGAAAATGATGCTTCATTGGCACAACCACAAATGACAAATCCACCACTACCTAACAACGGTGTACATAGCGGCACACTACAAGATGAATGCGTTTCTGAGAAAAATAAAATATGTGCTGAGGTGGGGTCATGTAATTTGTCTTCTGATGATAAAATATCGGTTCTCCAAGGTGTTATTGACATTACTAATGGGCAAGAGAAGATGATGATTTCAATAGTGAATGAGGTTAATAATGAGTACCCCCCACTGTTTCATTATATACCTCAGAATGCAGTTTTTCAGAAAGCATATGTAAATTTATCTTTGGCTCTTATTGATGATCATCATAGCTGTCCGACTTGTGCTGGTGATTGTCTGTCCTTGGATGCGTCTTGTGCTTGTGGTCAACTAACAAGCGGTGCTTTTGCATACACCAAACATGGTCTTATCAAAGAAGAGCTCCTGCAAGCATGTGTTTCATTGAATCAGGATCCCAATAAGCAAAATCAGTTCTTTTGCAGGGAGTGCCCTGCCGAGAGATCAAAAAATGATGACACTTTAGAACCTTGCAAAGGTCATTTGGCGAGGACATTCATTAAAGAATGCTGGTGGAAATGTGGGTGTAGCAAGCAGTGTGGGAATCGTGTGGTCCAACGTGGAATAAGTCGAAAGTTACAGGTCCTACTTTTCTCATAGCTGGAAGGATTGGACTAAATTAATCTGGATCATAGAAAATGTCTGGGAAAGGAAAAAATGTTAACTGATGTTATATTCTTGCGTCTGGCTTTACCTCGGAATATATAAAAGGAAATGATATGAAATAATAGAAATGTTTAAAATCAAATAAGTTCAAACAAGTATAAAAAGTAATTTTATGAGTTTGAGCCAATATTTTTGTTTTCCCTAACATTTTCTTTCATCTCCAACGTCCTCTGTATTATCTTCCTCTATAATTTTCTAAGTTTAAAATGAAATCTTGTGTTGTAGCCATGGGTTACTTTTTTTTAGTCAAATGGCTTAAATTTGCAATTGCACTTGGTTGCCTACTACCTATTGAGTTTATAAAGCATTCCAATTCATCCAGTTAATTTCTTCAGGTATTTATGACATCTGAAGCTAAAGGGTGGGGCTTGCGTACCCTTGAGGACCTTCCTAGAGGTGCATTTATTTGTGAGTTTGTCGGAGAAATTCTTACTAATGCTGAATTCTATGGCCGTGTTTCAAGAAGCCCTAATGGTGAGAAGCATTTTCATCCTGTTCTGCTTGATGCTGGTTGGGGTTCTGGAGGCTTACTAAAAGACGAAGAAGCTCTTTGTCTGGATGCCACACACTATGGAAACATTGCAAGGTTTATCAATCACAGGTAATGCTTATCATAGAGAAAGGGTTGCATGTTCTCTATGATAGTAATTACGTAGTAATTTATTTATCAAGACATATGTTCAGCTTTCTTCTTTCTTATTGTGGTGATAATACAGATGCTTTGATTCAAATTTGGTAGAGATTCCCGTTGAGATCGAGAGCCCTAATCATCAATACTATCATGTATGGACTTCTATTTTTCTAATGATCCTTGTTTTGATTTTATTTTAAACATGATTAGTCAAATGTGGAATTTTCTTTGTAAACGTTGTGCAGCTGGCTTTCTTCACTACAAGGGAAGTTAAAGCCATGGAAGAGCTTACTTGGGTGAGTAGTTGCAACACGTTTGAATAGTTTGATTTGGGGCAAATTAATACTCATAATAGTTGTGTATTTAGGTCTAAAACGTCTAAGCATTAGCATGCAAGACTAGTCAGTTATAAATAATGAGTAAATATGTATAAGTCATGGCATGCAAGTCTTGAACATGATTCCTATCATCTGCAAAACCATATATCAATAGAATCATATGTAGTTGTGATATAAGGGCACATACTCATAAAAATCGCAATAATGATGTTTTTAATAAATAATTAAAAAAAGAACCTAACAATAAGATTGAAGTGGATTTAATCCAACTGAAATTTTTGGAGACCAAAAATGGCTATATTTATTTTGATTTGTGATTTTGTGTATTTCCATTAAGTAGTACTATGCATGTTATACACATATACTTTATAGTGTCATACATATGACAGTAAGTCATATGTTGACTTGTTAATTAAGGAGTAGTTATTTCAAAATCCCCCATTCCTATTGTTGGAACTTTAATTGACCTTTTGTAATATATTATGACTTATTATATACGTAGTATGAGTCAGTTTAACAAATGTGGCAGCATACCAAGGTGAAAAGATGCATATTATCCACTAGATAGGCAACTAACATGAGTTGAATCCATATTTTGTGTTGACACTGCTTATTTTAATTGCAGGATTATGGGATCGACTTTGATGACCTCGACCATCCTATAAAAGCATTTCAGTGTGAATGTCAAAGTCAATTTTGCAGAAATATAAAGCGATCAAGCAGTAAGTAATGATTTGGTGAAAGAGGGTAGAACAATGCAAATTCGTCATTCTTCCAAGTAGTAGTATGTAACCTGCAGGCTTATTAATGTATTCTTGTAGGGTCTAGAGGAAGGAGATGAAACAAGACCATATTGGGGGATAGCGGGAAGCCCTTGTGAATCTTCTGTTCATGCCAAAAGCCAAAATTGTTACTCCCTATTATATAACTTTTGGCAGCTTTTTTGTAGTTGTTCACTGTACATTAATTGCAGCAAATATTTAAGGTAGGGCCTAGGGACTAGGGAGGGGATTAAACTGCTGAAGTGAAAAATTTTCAGGGCAGCAGCTGTATAACTAGTATCTCCTGTTTCTGTGACTACCATCTGTTGTTATTATACTTAGTGATATATATGGAGTATATGATGGTAATGGTAGTCAAAAGTTTCAACTTTTTAGAAATTTCAATAGATACAAGCTGTAAGCCTTAGAGGTCTTTTCGCTATGTTGGGCAGATGAAGAAACAGGGGAACATAATTACATAAAGCAGGGGTGTCAAAAAAAGAAATACGATAAATGGGTCAGAAACTCAAAATTCCGAAATGTAGTATTTTCTGAACTTTTATTATCTCAATTGGTTATTAAGATGAATAAGCCAAAGATAAAAAAAATATAACTATGTAATTTTCATTTCGCCATGAAAGATGCAAAGAAGTTCATAATAATTTGAAGAGAAAATTGTCAAATAAGCTCCTGTATTATATAGGCCTGGACTCGGGCCGGGCGGCCCGACCCGGAACCGGCCCGGCCACTGTAGCAACCGGCCCGGCCCGGTGGCCCGGTCCACCGGCGGTTCGGGTCGAACCGGCCCGGTGGTTCCCAGTTCCGGGCCCGGGCCTTCCATATGGTGAACCGGCCGGTTCGGGCCCGGTCCGGGCCGGATTTTAATTATTTTTTTTTTGAAATTTTTTTTAAGTCTTGGGTTGGAATAGGTATTTTGGGCCATTTGAGGTGGTTTGGGGTGGTTTAGGGTTGAGGGGGAGGGGTAGGGGATTAAATAGGAGAACCCAAAAAAAAAAAATATTGGGCCGGTTTGGCCCGGCCCGGCCCGGTTTGGCCCGGAACCGGAACCGGCCACCGGTGGTTCGGGCTCGGGCCTCCCTTTCCTGGCCCGAGGCCCGGCCGGGCCCAGGCCCAGGCCCGAACCGGGCCCGAACCGGCCCGAGTCCAGGCCTAGTATTATATCAGAAAAGTCAATTAGGTCCTTGTCATGGTAATCACCCAATCAACCCTTTGAACTTCTAAAATACATCGAGTGTTTTAGTAGGTCATAAACCGATTATCTGGTTAAATGCTCATGTGGTGGCCACATCGCAGGCCACACGCAATTATTTTGTTTTTCTTTATTTTTTCGTTTTTATTTTCCTTTTCTATTTCCTTTTCTTTTTCTGATTTATTCCCTCTTCCCAGATTTAACAACCGTTCCCAATTTCCCGGAATTCCTCATCTGTCATACGAGACTTGATTCCTCCCTTGCGACTATATTGTAAGCCCAGGTTGCTTCCTCCATCGTATCCACAATCCTGAACCAAATATGCCTCTTCTTGTTAGGACCTCTGGCGAACTCTGGAAAACGACGGCACCTCCAGCGAGCTGTGGCAAACGACGGCACCTCCGGCGAGGGCGGCTGCTCTCTTTTATGCGAACAGGGAGAGTCAACGGTGCTGGTTCAGATTGCTGTGATTCATCCATGTCGTTTTAGGCTCAAATAGAGAAACTAATTGAGATCTGCCGGTACCCAAAATTTTGTCTTTGTTTGGGTTCCTAAGAACTCCTTGGCGGCTTTGTCGAAATCCCAGGCGGCCTATTTCGCCAAATCGAAGGTACAAGCAAACGCGGCTGTTCTTGCAATAATCTTCGGCGAACTCTGGCGGAAACTCCGGCGAAGACAACCTCTCTCTTCCATGCGAATGAAAAAAGAAACAAAGAAATCAAGATAAAAAGAAATAAAGAAAGGAAGGATAAACGAAATACGAAGAGAAAGAGGAGTGACGACGGGGATTGTCGGGGAAGTCAGGCGCTAGTCAAGTCCTTGGGAATACAGGGAAAATGGAGAAGATAGACACGCAAGTCTGCCAGGCAAGTGGAGAGAAGGAAAACCAGAAAAGAAAAGGTAAGAGAAAGAAAAAGAAAGGAAAAAGAAAAAGAAAAACAAGGAAAAAGAAAATGACCTCCACGTGACCTGAGTTAACCACATAACTGGTTAGTGACCTACTAAAAACTCAATTGAACCTTTTATTTTAAAGTTTAAGAGTTTAATTGAACCTCCCGTATCGAATAATACGGGACTTATTCGATAGTTTTCTCTAATTTGAATGATTAATGATTTGGAATTGTTTACATAATCTAGTCTTTGTCATCTTTAATTTTGTCCATAATACTAGTCACTTTCTTTAGAGATGAGTTTCATTTTAATTATAATTAGGGAAACACTGGTCTAATGTCTATTCAGTATTCACAACCATTTTAACTGAAACTTCTATTTAAAATTAAATGCTCCGTAACTTTATACTCTGCTTTTAGATAACGTAGATCTTTAATTTATAACATAAAGAGGAAAATAATAGGGACAATGTAAAAGATGAAGTGATTTGTGTTTAAATGGAAACGTAGGAAAGAGAAATTGATAAGATTAATAAAAGTAATATGGTAATGTTTCCCATCATTTACTCCATCAGTGGGTGATTTGCCTAACGAGATTAAGAAAAGGTATTTTGATTGAAAAAAAATTAACTAAAAAAAGAAAGAGGAACAAATCATTAAAAGCGTCCCAAAAAAGAATACCAGACATTTAATAAAGAATGGTGGCGAGGGAGCATCTGATAGTGCAAATTTGGAAATAGAGTATGATGTTACATATAGCACATAGAGAAACGACTAACATGAAATGGTAAACTTTTGGAATAAAAAGAACTGAAAAGCTTTGATTATCAAATAATAAATAACTAAGAGATTAAATGAAGTATCCACATTCAACATTTCAAGATAATTGAAAGTATTTACTAAAATAAATTAAAATTAAATAGGGAAAACTGTCAAATAGGTCCTCGAACTTTCATAAAAAAATCAATTAAGTCCTTCTATAGGAGACTTTGTCCGGTCGTCGCGATTTGGGGCTGTTCCCGGTGTAATTTTTTGATGAAATTTTTTTAACATCTTATTCATCAAGCCTAGTTTACTCATATCAAATTTCAGCTAAAAATTTAATCGGGAGCGCATTCAAATTAATTCGAGAACGCAAAAATGCGCAGTTATCTTCAAGAATTAATTTGAATGTGTTTCCGATTGAATTTTTAGCTGAAATTTGGTATGAGTAAACTAGACTTGGTGAATAAGATGCTCAAAAAAGTTCATCAAAAAATTCCACCGGGAACTGTCCCAAATCGCGACGGCCGGACAGAACCTCCTATAGAAGGACTTAATTGACCTTTTTATGAAAGTTTGAGGACCTATTTGACAGTTTTCCCAAATAAATAAAGTTATTATGGTACCAAACTTCTAACATGAAATTGTTAAGCAAAACTGTAATGTGGAGTAGTTGACAATTTCACTAAATAGCTTTTTTAGTGTTAGCTGAATTACCCAAGTTCAACAGATATATGCTGCTCACATATATAATAGATAACATTGAACAAACAAATGGAGTATGCACACCAAACTTATTAATTAATACAGCCAGAATAGCGCCATTTAAGTATGTACAAATTATAAACCTAGAGAGTATACATTAATTTACATTAATCACAAACATAACTAGCAAGATAGAAACAAAATATAAAAATGGAAATATATCAATGACAAAAGCAACATGGTTGAGCTACTAGTAAATTTAGAACAACAATTATAAACTATGTCTTAAATTATGAGAATTTTATAATCTATTATTAAAACACTAACACTTTCCCATCTTTAATAACACTTTCCCATCTTCCAAGTTTTTGGAAGCTAAAGTTGCAATGCCAAATGGACCGAGACCACCTTGGACAGCTGAGCCCCTAATGCTACATAGCTTCTATATATGCGCCATTGATATCCCTGCTGGGATCAAACGACTCTGCTTTTTCCTAACTTTAGTTTTTCTGACACAATTTCACTTTCCCTTAGAAACATTTTAGAGGGTTTTGTCATTTTATACTACTTCTCGATTTGTTTACTATTTTACCATGTATAATGGCATTAGTTGAAACTTGAAGAAAATTAGAGTGATTACAAAAAAAATAGGTGATATGCCTAATGAATAATGATATAGGTGTCATTTTTGCTCCTGATCTCTATTTAAATAATAAAGAATAAATTTAATTAAGAAAAATCCAAAGGGAAAGTAGAAATATCTAAAGAGTAAATATGAAATATTATTTATTGGAATTGTTGATTTTCTATTATGACAGCCATAACTAGTGGACTCGGGTCGGGCCGCCCGGCCCAGAACCGGTACTGTTTGGGCCCGACCCGGTGACCCGCTACAATCCAGTTCGGGTAGGCCCGGCCCGCTTATTAGGGAAGGGCGGGATCGGGTCAGCTGAATAAGGAACCGGCCGGGCCGGGCCCGATTTGGGATTTATTATTTTTTTTTTGTTTTTTCAATTTTTTTTTTTAAAAACCCGGGTTGGGTTGGGTATTTTGGGCTATTTGGGGTGGTTTGGGGGGGGGGGGTGAGGGGAGGGGGGTCGGGGTTTAATTAGAAATAGGAAAAAAATACAAACTGGCCCGAGGCCCGGCCCGGCCCGGCGGCAACCAGGGCCGGTCCCGGGCCTTCCCCCGGCCAAACACAAAAGGCCCAACCGGGACTAGGCCCGGCCCGGGCCCGACCCGGCTCCATGCCTAGCCATAACTAAACTTGAAACACACTACTTGGAGTTCATACGATTTCAAGAAAAAATGTTGGATCAAGTTCCATTATTTTGAAACCTAGTTTCACTCCATCATAAACGAAACTTTAATTAACTTTGATAAGAACTGATGTATTTTTACGAAGGGAATTGTCTTTAATGTTAAATTATGAAGTGATCAGGTACATCACACTATCATAGTCACTTGAGTAATGTCAGTTGAAATTTATAATATGTTTCAGACTTGCAACGACATCAATCAACCAAGAAAACTTGAAGTATTATTTATAAGATGGTGTATCATCGCACACCTAGTATGATAAAACCAACATGGTATTCTCATTAGTATCTTGCTTGCCCTTGGGATTGATATCATTGAGAAAAGATGCAGATAATTGAAACAGTTTTGCAGGCACTCTCACAATACTACCTTAGATATCTCTCTTTACTGCTTAGTTATGTGATAACCGTCAACAAGAGTTAGAGACTGTCTTTAGGGTGAGTTGCGTTTTCTTAAATCATCTAACTTTCACCCATTACCCATGTAATACATGAAGCATTACATGTGAGGAGTCAGACCGGAAAGACCAAGAGCTGATGTCTCTTGCTTCTCCTAGGTCCAGTCTTCATCA